ATATATATATATATATTAACGTTAATGACGTTAATAACGTAATTGTACTAATACTATTAATGATAAATTTAACATCTAATGGTTTATTAACATAATAATAATAATTATTTAAATTAATTATACGCAAATACAAAATTACAATTGTTGCGCGTGTGAAATTGGATCGAGACATCCTCTTTTTTGTATTGTCAATTATTATTTTAACAATTCGAATGTACAATAATAACTCTGTTGCCTCAGGAAAAACGTACCAGTATGTTTTCTCAAGCATGTCTTATCTCTCAACCTCTACTGCAACCGCTTCACGCAACGTGTGCATCGCCACCGAATTGCTCGAATACAACGACTACGTTAACCATCATCACCAAACATCGTTCAGTATCGCTTTTGCACTAACGGACTGCGATATAAATACATACACATATATATATATATAATAGATATGCAACGAAGAATATGTTTAAAAACGATGTCTTTATCATCTTTCAAGGGGATACCAACGTTCTGCAGCATCAGTCGGAGCTATCGAGCGGAACTATAATCGGCATTGCCCTCGCGGCGATATTCGTCATCTTTATCATCATTGATGCCACCTGCTGCTGCGTGCGCAAGACAGGTGAGACTGGCGTTAAATCATCATGTTGCCTGAATAGATCACCGATAAATTCTCTCGCGTTATATTGTATAACGGGAAAGATCGAAGCTCAGCTCGCGTTCGCATTAATTACGCGTTAATTACGTTTATCACGCACTAGTTATCTGCCAATCACGCCATGACTCAATAATGAAGCTCCCAAAGATTATTACTCGTCATAATTAGACATGTCATTCGAGGGAATTCAAATTTTGCAGTTTGACACGAAAATAATATAATTCTAAAATCTAAGTATTATTGTATTGGTTCAAAGTCGTACAAAAATTCGATACGACAATTACTTTGACTTTTGTAAATTCAGAGTATTAAAATAAATTGCCATCTTAATTCATTCGTTAACGATTTATCGTTACAATTAATATCTTTATCTTTCTGCATTACAGGGATTATCTATTACACGCGCGAACAAGCTCGGTGGAAATCGGTTGACGACAATAATATTATCTTTACCTTTCTGAATTACAGGAATTATTTATTACACGCGCGAACAAGCTCGGCGGAAACCAGTCGATGAGGAAGACGCGAAGCTCGGCAGGTGAGTCTCATTTTGAATTTTTCAATTCCGCGGTATTCTGAATTTTATCTATATATATATATATATGATATTATGAAATACTCTTTTCTTGAATATATATTTCCTACAGTCTACCGCATCTCGTTCATATATACTATTACATATTTATTTTACATTGTGCTTTGGCAAGTCTAGCGCTACTTTATCATGTTATCGAACTTTGCACCCGTCATTGAAACTTTCGTTCACACGTTGGGGAACGGATTTCTTTCTTTCCTTCCGTCTTCATCTCTCTCGACCGTCGAGTTCGCATCTTGCTTCTTTCTTAATGATGATTCGATTAGACTTATATTTCGCGTTTTAATCGCACCGGGACTTATCGCACATTCTCGCGGGGTTATTTGCACGATTCTGCGAGCGCGGACTCGGACGCGCATAGCGACATTCGCCCTCGCATAATTGTGCGTGACACAGGAAGGGTGATGGTGTAGATGAGATGACGGTGGTAGAGCCGCGATACTAAATGTTAGAGAGTAGCCCGCCGGCAAACACAGAAACAACAACACTCTGACTCCTCTCGTATTTCTCTCTCTTTTTTTTTTCTTTACCGGTAGTCTTTACGGTTGGCGGTTTCCGTTGCCGTATTGCGACCAAAAAATGGCCAATGTCGCCGGGGTCACGGCCATCCAAGAGTCGGGTAGTGGAAAAAATACCATTAGATTGGTCAAACACACTGCCATGTAAGAGAGAAAACGATATATAAGCGAAATCAGTAAGAAGCATGGCCCCTCACGAAGGGGCTCCGACACTGGCTTTTTTCACTTTGCATGTACTTTTTTTTTTTTTTTCTACTTTTTTCTCTGCCTCTTCTCTGCCTCATCTCTTCCCTTTCAAAGCTCTCGGAGACTCCTCTCTCTTCCTTCTTTTTTTTTTTCTCTTTGACGTATTTTCCTTGCTTGACTTCCCCGAGCGACGGCGATACCCATCGCTGAAACACGTTTTGATGGCGTTCGGGGATGAACCGTGTCTCGTAAGGGAAATCGTCGATACGCATCAAAGAGAATTCGATGAGCATGAGAGAAAACACATTCGATCCGTTGGACGCATTCACTGTGCCGTCAACCACTCTTTTACGCAACACGATTGATTTTTATACACTTTTGCGTTGCGCCGGGACGCGTGTCCACTCGTATTATGCATAAATAAATTATAATCCTCTCTC